CTGTAGTGAAGGTACCTAGCAGATCCTAAAACCTAACCATGTTTGTGTATGTGGATCTTTGGATGTTAGGGTAGAGTTACACACCTGACCTGACACTTGCCTTATATGAATATGAGAGCTGTATCTGGGGTATTTGCTGTAGGTGAGGGGGTTCCTAGCAGGATGTGACACCTAGTCCTGTGCATTCAACTTTACTGTGTAGCTTGGATCTCAAGAGGTTATGATACCTAGCTGTGTAAGAGGAATATTGGCTGTAGGAAGAATGGACCTAGCAGAAGCTGACACAGCCCTGTTTGGAAGGCTTTGGCTCTAATGCAATTAGAAATATAACAGATCCTTCCATATAACAGCACTAGTGGTTGTGTGTGTGTGTGTGTGTGTGTGTTTGTGTGTGTGTGTGTGTGTGTGTGTATTTATGGATGACGGTGTTGCTTTGCCTGTAAAGGAGGCAATACTTTGAAATACCAGTCAAATGGCATGTATTTGGGAGTCTTTGGATCTAGGAAAGTGTATAACTAAAAAGACATGTGAGTAGATGTATTTGTATAAATGTATTTTTGTGTGTGTGTGTGTGTGTGTGTGTGTGTGATTGTTTGTGTGTTTGATTAAGAGAAGACAGGGAAAGGAGAGAGGGAGAAAGGGAGAAAGAGAGACAGAGACAGAGACAGAGAGAGACAGAGAGATATGGTTGTAGGTAATGAACACCTAGCATGAGAAACACCTAGTAGGCTTTGGAATTTGGCTCTTGTGGGACACCTCGCAGGACCTAACACCTAGAGGTGTATATGTGTGCTTGTTTGTTGTATGGGGGATCCCTCTACCTCACAGGACTTAACACCTAGAAGTGTATGTGGGTCTTCGTTGTATGGTGTCTGTCTTTTAGGACCTGACAGCTAGGTGAGAGTGCACTGGGATTGTGAAGGCATTTGTAGGAGCCTGCATGCCTGAGTGTGTTTCTGAGTGTGTGACTGTGTACCTAGCATTTGATTATAGGGGAGGGTGTGCATACTGGTAACCTATCTGTGTAAGAGTATTTGAATACAGGAACAGAGGTATGTATCAGGATATGACACCTAGAGCTGAGTAGACAGCTTTGTCTGTTATGGAGTGGGAACAGCAGGACCTGACCTGGGACTCTGTCTGTCTGTCTGTCTGTCTGTGTCTCTCTGTCTCTCTCTGTTTCTCTGTCTGTCTCTGTGTATGTGTGTGGCTGTAGGGGATGGACACCTAGAAGGTCAGCACATAGATGTCTGTGGGTAATTAGGGCTTTGGCTGAATGGGGGAGACCTTGAAGGACATGACACTGGGTGAGTGTTCATGAGAACGGCATGGGATCATACAAGCATGTGTGCCTGAGTGTGTTTGTGAGTGTGTGGCTGTGCACCAGGCATTTGACAATAGCGGAGATTTGGTAGTACTAAACAATTAGCTGTTTAACTGTATTGGATCTTCACATGGAGGGGAAGAGGTACCTGGCAGGATCTGACACCTAGCTCTGGGTGTGTGGCACTGCTGTAGCTGAGGAGATTCCTATCAGGAATGTGACCTAACCATGTATGTATATGTGGTGTATGTAAGGGAAGAGATAAATACTAGACCCTGACACTTGTGTTATAGGTATATTGGGGCTGTGTATGGCCTCTGTGGCTGTAGGTGAGGGGATACTAAGAAAGACCAGATACCCAGTCCTGTACATGGGGCTTTAGCCATTGCATTGTTGATCTCTTGGAGGACATGCTACCCAACTGTAGAGGAGCATTTTCTTGAATGGAAAGTTGACTTAGCAGGACCTGACACCTAGGCTTGTGCATTTGGCTCTGGCTGTAGAAGACAGGGTTCCTAGTAGCACCTGACACCAAGAAATTTGGAGGTGGGTTCAATTTAAGTGTATGGACACCTTACAGATGATGACACCTAGTCCTACTGTCAAAGAAAAAACTTGACCTCTCCATACATTAAAAATAAAGTCAAATTCCTCTCCCAGACCTATATTTGTCAAGTTCCATATATCTTGTTTAAACCCTTATTCTACAAAATCCTTCAGGTCCATATCTTGAAAATACTTTCTCTGATCAACTTCATTAATACTATACTGACCCTGGAGTTTTATCTACCTAGTCACTGACTGCTGTCTACAGACAATGCAGCACACTTTCTGACCAGTCACCACAAGTACAAGTGCATGAATGCATATGCATGCACAAACACACACACTCACACTTTTCCTAAAAACATCATCATCTTTAGCACTGCTCCATGCACACTGCTATTGAACATGCCTGGCTGGAAACCCCCAGGTATCCTACATAGACAGCTCAATGTCATGTCCTAATGAATCTAGACACCTCCCAACTGATGTCACCCAGCATACACTATTGTGTTCATAAGACACACTGCAGGATATCCCCCTACTTCTCCCACAGAGACTCATCCCACTATCAGGAACTGCCCCATAATGGGCCTTACTATCTACTGCCCCCCAGGCCTGCTTCCAACCCACCCATGTTCCACTAGTTACCAGGCCCTGCTGGACACTCCTACCACTGCCACATAGCCTGAAACACACTGCTTGGTTTCAGGCTTTGCTGGACACCTGCCTGAGGCCTGGATGCCCTACTCTGTATCTCATCCTCGGGACTCCCCAATCGGAACCAGATATTGTGCATGATAACAGGCCTCATCTAGTGAGTTTCTCTTCCTGCACCCAACCTGCTGCCACAAAAGCCCTGCTAGTTTTTAGCCCTGTTTATACCCAGCCACTGTCTAGTAGTGTGTGGTGTCAACAGAATGATGCGATTTTGGGTAAGGCTTGAAGCCAGTTATTGTATATGCATACAATATACTTCAATACACATGACTGAAATCTGCACAGAGTGGTGTGTCTTTCATATGTCAGTTATGGGGGTGTCTAGCAGAGTCTTTAAAATCGCAGTGTTCATTGGGTCAGTAGTATATATCAAGGGTTAGGGTGTGTGTCAACCTTCACTGATACCTAGCATGTCATGTGTGATGGAACCTGGTATTCAAATGCACCTGACACACAAGACTTTATAAGCACTGTGGTTTGGAAAGGGGTTAATGTGCAGCATGGCCCAGTAACTAGCAGTACAGCCTGAGACCCAGCACATTGTACAGCATAGGAAGGAGTCCAGTAGAAGCTGGTGCCTAGCAGTGTGGGTGTGTCTTCCACAGAAGATGTCCAGCAATGGAATTTCTAGGTATCATGCAAGACCTACAGGGGGAGAAGTTCCCAGCCTGGGCTGGTGGCTGTCAATTAATGTGACATATGAGGTCAAACTGCAACTGATGTTTGGATGTGTAGTCACAGGGGTGGTGGTTTGATAACACTGTATGTCAGAGAGAGCAGTGGAATTACAGGGTGTAAGCTCTGCACAATCCCTACGTTGTATGTGTTAGCTTGTAACTGAGCTGGTGTCTGACAAGG